TTTTTCTGGACATTCTTTTCGCCAACTTTGATGTCGGTAGTTGTTTATGTAAGATATCCAAATCTTATTTATTTCCTAATTGCTACCTACCTGGCGACCAGTAGGTAGCTCCCTCTTAAGTTCACGATTGTTGGATCCTGAAGCTTGTTTGAAAATCCCTTGCCTAACCAGGTTTCCATATTCATAGGCAAGGTATCGTGAGTACTCCACCAGTTTTACATGCATCTAAAATCACATTACTAAAGACATATGAAATGATTTCTAGAACATTTCATTTTTGAATTTACTCCCACTAATTGATTTGTTCTCAAAAGTCAACAGATCTTTCTGTAAACGAAGGTTCTTTTTTTTTCATTGTGCCCTTAGATGCGATGAATACAAAGGAGTAGAATATGGGTTATGTGATTTTAATTTTTGATTTATACTTCGAAATAGAAATTGCTTCCTAGTTTATTGTAAAGTGGTTGCGAGCAAAGTTCTGAATTCTATGCCTCCAGTGTTGCCTTTCATAAAAGAAATTATATCAATTTTTTTTTTTGTTTTCACACCTATAAACTTTCAACTCTCTCAAGTACGGATATTTGGGAAGTGTGAGCATTGCTGCTGGCTCTATTTATTTTTCTGCGGCAGTAAGGATATTTTTTTAGAAAGACGAATAATCATTAAGGAATGTAGTTATGAACATATAAATCAAACAGAAGTAGAGTAAGATGAAACAGAATGATTAAACGAGATATTTAGGGTCATTCAATTTTGGTAGTGGATAGAGTAGGAAATGAATAGGAAGCGCAATTTAGTCATGAAATTTTAACAAAGGAGCACTTCATAGGGAATATTTTTCCACTGCAGTTCCTCTGTGAAAAAATTGCGACTATCAGTGCTAGCTAGTTTCCATCCTTGCTAGGACAATTTTTTCCAGAAAAAAAAACAAATTTTAGATTTGATTTCTCCTGAAAAATAATTTTCACACCATCTCGTTCTAAATCAAGTGTGTGTGATAAAGACTTATTAAAGGAAAGTTTTCAGGCAAAAAATGTTACTGGATGTCTTATTGTTCACAGATACCTTTGGTTTCCTTGCTTACGACCTCATGAAGCGTTTTTAGCGTTTCACTACGTCTACCGGAAAAATAAATTTTACGCTAGTATGCCAAGCAGTTGAAAATCTCATGGATTTGTACATTTTGATTTTGAAGACAATTTCGATGTGTGATTCATTGAACAAAATGAGCTTGAAATGGAGGACCTAGATGTAAAGGTGGATGGACTCAAATTCTTAAGTATTACATAAATGTTACATATATTATACATTGAAGTGAATAATAAAATATGAGCATAAGATATCACAATTTAGTCCTTATTATTTATAATAATTTTGTAGAAGTCTCAACAACGTTTTACAAATTTCAGGCCTACTCGGGGTTCGATTTTTTGATATGATGGATCAACAATTGCATATTCATGGTACTCGAGCTATCGTTGTAAATTTTCGCATCAATAACTATCGTTACACCCGGCACGAAACTAT